CTTCAAAAGAATTCCTCTGATTTCCCCGGGAGGGCATGGTTTTAGGGACAGCTTCTCAGGGGGAGCCAAGCATACCTGATGCTCCACATCCTGCCCCCTTAAACATCACGGCCTCGGCTCCTCCTGTCTGGCGCAGAGCGTGGCCCCGCGGGCCCCCTGGAGCGACCCGCCCACTGCAGGCCCGGGCACAGGCCGGTGAGTCAAGAGTGGCTCACTCTGTCCTGCGGAGAAAGCACTGGAGGCTCCAGCCGGCGGGTGAGCAGGTTCTGATTGAGGCGGACGTCACCTCGGCTGCTTCCTTCTCGGCGGCTCCAACAGACCAACGCTTTCACCTAATTCTCTTTCCCATCAAGACCTTTCGAGGGGCCCTCCCTGTGGTGCAGCGGGTTAGGACGCAGCACTGCAAACTGGCCGCAGCCACTCCAGTGCGAGCTCGATCCCCGCCCCGAGGTGACCCACAGGGCGCGGCAGACCTCTCCGGACCGGCCCGCTGCTCCCCTCAGCTGTGTACTTCATCCATCTGCCTGTTCTGCTCCCCACTCTGGCTCTGGTGAAGCCTCTCACCACTTCCCCCTGCGCCTCTGGCCTGTACCCCAGTTCGGTATGTATAAATAAATAAATTAAAAAAAGAAAAAAAGACCTTCCGAGGGACCCTCTTCACGCCTGAGTCACACATGGGACTGGCAGCTGCTGTCTGGCAGACTTGGACACACACATTCAGGCTCGGGGAACAACCGGGGCTCAGCACAGACCTCCCGATTTAAAAAAAAAAATTGTAAACTTATCACTATATATGACTTTAAATATTTAAAACATTAAAAGTTTTCATTGAAAATTAATTTTAATGGTGTTTTACAGTCGCAGCAAATTGGAGAGTACAGAAAATTCCCACATGCCCAGGGCCCTGCCAGCTGCCTCCTTCACCAGACGCGCCCCACCAGAGTGGCACCTGTGTTACGGCCAGTGACCTGACTTGGGCACATCGTCACCCAAAGTCCCTGGTTTACACTGGGGATCACCCTCGGCCTTGGACGTTGAGGGGTTCAGACAAAGATACAGACTGGAAGCACCAGTGTCTGCACCACACGGCAGAGCCACTGCCCGCACCTCTCTGTGCTCCGCTCTCCCCCCCCATCCCTGATCTGTCTAGTGAGCCCACAGTTTTGTTTTTTCAAAGCCCCCCACCCCCGTTTTTTAAAATCATTTTTTGCTTGCAATAGCCATGCCCCATCAGACCGTTAGTGGCCTCTCTGAGCGGTCAGTGCCAAGGCCAGTCTGCTGAGATATTTTGAATATTATTCCTGGAACAATCCCTTTTTTTAAATGATCGTGATAAGTTCTAATTTTAAGAAAACAGCATTCAGGCCAAATCAAATAGGCTGCAGACTGTCTTTGGCTCACGGGCCACTGGTTTGGGCTGTCAGCTATGGGAATTAAGGAGAGCAAGGCTGGGGCCCAGACCTGCTCCCCGATGCCGTGTGACCTTGAACTAGTCCCTCTACCTCAGCCCAGCTGTCTGCGAGGCCATCACGGGTGGCCCTGGACGGAGGGACACAGGACCACCGTGCCCACTCGGGGTTCGCTGTCCCAGCACATTCACAGAGCTCAGTTTGCAGTATGTGACCCGGACTCCCAAATCAAGCTATCACACTTGTAAGCTAGAAGACAAGAAAAGCTTCCAAAATTCCTAGAAATACAGTTTTCAGGGGAGAGCGCTGTGAAGTGCCAGTGGGTAAGACGTGGTGCCCGCCTGGTCGGGAAAGGGAATTTCTCTGCCTCCCAGAAACTCGCCATAACAACAACCGATTTGTCCAGGGCTGACCTGGCCGAGGGTTGGGAGCCAGGCATCCGTTTGACCCCAGTCCTGCTGAGGGCCAGCTGGGTGACCTCGAGTGTACAACTCAAGCTCTCTGGACACAGCACTCGGGGGGCTGTCACCTTCATGGTCTGTGATTAATGCCTGGAGCCGGGCTGCCTGGCCGTCTCTGGAGGCCCTGAGGTTCGCATCTGGAAGCTGGGGATTA